TAATTTTTGAAGGTAATTTTCTTTCAACTTTATTTTGAGTCGTTGGCCCCAAAAGCAATGGTTTTCTACTTTAAATAAGAGAAAATTATTATACATGGGTAAAAAATGAGAAAAGAATTTTTTATTACAAATTTTATTGTGCCAAATAGAAAAAAAATAGGATTAAATTTTGCTCTGATCAAAATATCCTCCTTTGGCCTTGATTACTGCAGCACAACGTTTTGGCATTCGTTGCAAAACTTTCTCAAAGTGTAAGTTGATATCTGTCTATATTTCTGAGATGAGGTATTATGCACACTATTTACATTTATTACAACATTTCGGCCGTTGTACGCTCCGGCCTTCGTTGGAATGCTGAACTAAGCCCTTTATTTCGCTCACTAGGGTAGAATATTCTAGTTCCACGTTCCATGTCTAACGGCTGTCAGTTATCTCCTGTTGATTCCCCTCTCCAAATTCTCCACCGCCTTAACCAGGTATTGAACTCACACTCTTTGCGGCCTGTCACTGGATCTAACCAATGTTTTTATCCACTGAGCCATGTGTCCCCCAGGAAACATTGTAATAAATATGGCGACAAAGATGAGGACAATAGTCCGAATAATGTAAATAGTGTACATAATACCTCATCTCAGAAATATAGACAGATACTGAAAGGCCGAAACGTTGTAATAAATATGGCGACAAAGATGAGGACAATAGTCCAAATAATGTACATAATACCTCATCTCAGAAATATAGACAGATACTGAAAGGCCGAAATGTTCTTATAAATATGGCTACAAAGATGAGGACAATAGTCCGAATAATGTAAATAGCGTACATAATAACTCATCTCAGAAATATAGACAGATACTGAAAGGCCGAAACGTTGTAATAAATATGGCGATAAAGATGAGTACAATAGTCCGAATAATGTAAATAGTGTACATAATACCTCATCTCAGAAATATAGACAGATACTGAAAGGCCGAAACGTTGTAATAAATATGGCGATAAAGATGAGTACAATAGTCCGAATTATGTAAATAGTGTACATAATATCTCATCTCAGAAATATAGACAGATACTGAAAGGCCGAAACGTTGTAATAAATATGGCGACTAAGATGAGGACAATAGTCTGAATAATGTAAACAGTGTAAGTTAATTCCATTCTTTTTCAATGGGTCTATGAGCTCTTTTTCATTTTCAATTTCATTACTGCGGGTGGCTTCAAAAATTTGAACTGTAGTGTATATATAAAAGGCAGGATGTGTGTGTGTGTGTGTGTGTGTGTGTGTATGTGTGTGTGTAACGAATGCACGGCTGCAATTTTTGACGGATTTGCACCAAAATTTACATGCACATGCTCCAAGTTAGCGGGAAGGCCAAGACCTACTTTGCATTTCCCAACTCCCATCGATAGTTAAAATAATCGATTTTTTCATGCTTCTACGGCAGTTTTCATGTAGTTTGCGGTCATTTTCTACTGGCCAGAGTGAGAGCCTATAGCTGGCTGTCACGAATATGCAGGAAGATTCTATTGGCCAGCGTGAGAGCCAACAGCTGACTGACACGAATGTTAACTAGCATGCTAGCATGCAAAAAAAAATCGATAGCTGCATTCGTCACAAGTGGGGAAAAATTTAAATCTGCATGGCACTTTACTCCAATTGGCTCATTCGCTTGCTTAAACTCAACATTGATTCTGATTCCGCAGAACTGGGCTGGGTGTAAAAAAGTATTTGTTGTTAGCATTCTTTTTTTATTCGGTTTTTCCAGTTACGAGTCCTTTTTTAAAGCTGATCGTTTTGTGTTCATTTTGTTTAGTTCTATTTTCATAACAGATTTAATGTTTAGTATAGAGCTTAGAAAAAATTCGCAGTGTAAGAAGTAAGGCATGTAGCAACATCAGCACGGCAAAAGGCACTCCTTTAAAGGCAAGGAAGGGCAAAAATATTTTAAGTCAAGTGATAGCGATTGCTGTATGAGTCGTACGATTTTTGAATCAAGCACGGGCAACGCCGGGCCATGCTGTTTACACACACACACACACACACACACACACACACACACACACACACACACACACACACACACATATATATATATATATATATATATATATATATATATATATTAGAATGAATCATTCATACAAAATGTAAATTAGTAAAATTAATGAGATAAAATGGCGAATTAATTTCGCTAGATAAATTTTAAAAATCCATTAACCTACTAATCACTCGATGAATGTTATAAATTGTACTAGGTCTTCCTTAAATATGAGAGTACTTTCCACATGTTCACCGGTCATCATCAGGCATGGAAACTATTTTCTTTTTAGTAAAATTCAGGTAGCATCCTAGACGAAAAATATAATGCAAATTTAAATATGTTTTTTGAAGTGCGTAATTGATAACAGATATAAACTTATGAAGCGTGCACTCGCAAGGCTAAGGTTAAATTTTTTGAAAATTCAAGTGTGAGCGTTTTTTTCCTAAATTCAACCTCCCACTTTATATCCACATTAAAATCTCTTGTTTGATTATCAAATTCTGATCAGCTATGAAATCACGTCTTCTCCCCAGCTATGGATTAATTAGTGAGACTTGTATCAATGAATAATTATTATTTCTGAAAGAAAATTCTTACAATCTAAACATATATTCTGGTTTTATATAACCTCTAAAGGGTTGGTAAGCCGTAAAAAACGAATCAATCAGTAAGGTCATCTACATCTCGAATTCTCCAACCAGTTCACACGAAAATTAGACAAAATCAACATAAACAATTTACAAAATCAAATATATGCAGACATCATGCAGTTTAGCGCTTCTTAATAAATTTTGTCTTTTTGTTATCTCTCCTAAGCCTTGTTCCACTATCCATTTACTCAAGCCCGTTCTTTTTCTTCTATATGCCGTGACCCTTAAGGACATAGGCGATCATGGCTCTCCACAATTTCCTGTCTTTTGTAGCTCTTAATAAATTTTGTCTTTTTGTTATCTCTCCTAAGCCTTGTTTCGCCATCCATTTATTCAAGCTCATTCTTTTTCTTCAATGTGCCGTGTCCCTTCAGGAATTACGTGATCATGGCTCTCCACAATTTTCAATCCTTTGTAGCTATTAATAAATTTTGTCTTTTTGTCATTTCTCTCAAAAACATGGAGAGCATCCAGAAGAGTTGCAGGAGATTCCGAAGTCGTCCGGAGAACGTGGTTGATGTCAATGGTGATTTATTGAATAAATTTACTCTCTAGTATTTCAAGATATTTTTGTGTAATTTCGGTAAATACATTTGTTAAAATGAGATATCAGTGTTATTTTCATTTTTGCGTCATTTATACGACAACTTATCCTTCGTACGCTGTATATCGCAACTTGTCGCATGATACATTTATTCAGTGAAACGCTTGCTGCGGAATACTAATCAAGTTCCACTCTACGAGGAAGTCATGCGAATGCACTATCCATGTTCACATTTGATGCGGGAATGAAACGTGAAACTTGACAGGGGATTGCTTCAGGCATTTCATGGATTGCTTCATAATGGTGGGTGCTTCTTGATGCAGTTGACACTAGTGTCCAATTAATACCACAGAAAAGAAGAAAAAAAAGTGAAATATAAAAGTGTATTTCAAACACAGGAAAATTATAACGTTGTGTTAAGGGTGAGGTCAAGGGATCCCCTTTTACGGCAACGTTCGACATTCATTGACAAAACAGTCTTGTTAAAATGTATAAAATACTGCTATGAAATCAGACTTTTAAATAAAATAGGTCTATCAAGACCATAATCTGTTATTGATGTTGTCATTATTGAATCAGTTTCCGTCCCATACTTTTATGGATGTAGTGTGGAAAGACAACATCCTGATCATTTTCATTATTTTTCTCTTTTGTGTTATTCACGGTAGTTGTTGTTGTTGTTGAAAGTCCTCAAGTGATTCCGTTTCGTAGGGGATCTGCGAAAGTTAGATCGACAAATCTTTTAATTTTTTAATTTTCTATTAACTAATTTGCATCCATTTATTAAAAATTTTACCTTATATTCAAAGATCTGTACGCTCTTAAACGACTTAAACTAGAGAAATTTATTGGTCAATGTATTTTGTTAGGTGTTAACGAGAATTTTTATTATTAAATAGAAAGATGGAAAGATAAATATGAACAGACTGAGATAGATAGATAGATAGATAGATAGATAGATAGATAGATAGATAGATAGATAGTGATAAAATAGGAATAGATAGATAATGATGAAATAGAGATAGATAGATAGATAGATAGATAGATAGATAGATAGATAGATAGATGAAACTATATCGAAGTAGAAATCTATACTTTATATTGACTAGCACTTTGTTTCATCATATATATATATATATATATATATATATATATATCGCCTTTTTCAAGTTCTCGTTTTGATCGTGCAGGTGACTAGCCACCCGCCTCACAACTGTTGTTGGGGTAACGCCGATAATACAACTATGAAACATAGTACTGTGTAACATAATACTAGTAGTTCTTTGTGAGCGAAACAAAATATATATATATATATATATATATATATATATATATATATATATATATATATATATATATATATATATATATAAGCAAATATATGGATATAAAGTATGAAAGAAAAATACAGAAAAAACAAACAAAATCCGAATATGCAATGATGCTGTATTAATGTTAATATAAAGTCGACGTCGGACGTTTCGGTCTATTTAAGACCATCTTCATGGACATTTTCATTTAAACAATTAACATTAGAACTTATAAAAATTTAATACAAAAGACGATGGACATAAGAGCCCAACTAATTCAAACAGATAACTGAAATTTTATACAGATCAGCGTTCCGTTTAAATATGATCACGTAGTCGTCACGTGGGCGATGTTGTTAAACATTAATACTACATAATTGCATATTCAGATTTTGTTTGTTTTTTCTGTATTTTTCTTTCATATATATATATATATATATATATATATATATATATAGATAGATAGATAGATAGATAGATATATGAATTGGCACTAATTTTGTATTAAAATGCGACATAATAACAGAATAAGGAACAAATAGGAAATTAATTTAACATGTTTCACTTCAGCAAATTTGGGGAAAATGTTTTGCGAAAGAGAAATACCTGAGAAGGTACAATGACACACTTTAATTGTCAATTGGAGATACAGTTCAACCTTTATCTTACAAGGCGGTTAATCATTCAATTTATAATATTAAGTACTGATCGGAAAGAACTACTAAATTATAGTCTTCTATTTTTTTTTCTTAGAGTCCTCATGGTTTTTGTCCCAGCCCATCCCGCCACATGAATAGTAATCTACACTATCAGAAGAATAACTTTGGATAGTAATAACTGATTATAGGCCGTCCCTTTAAGGTCGTGGAATACACTACAGTCGCCTGGAAATATGTATGTATGATTACTTATACTCGGTTGCGTAGGTGTGTATGCATTTTTGAATGTGTATGTGCATGCATGTAGATATGCATCTGCATGTATGTATATATGTACATATATATGTATATATATATATATATATATATATATATATATATTACTCTTACTTTCACTCTCTGTGCGTATATATATATATGTGAATATGATTTTTCTATATATTTGTGTATCTATGTGTATATATATATATATATATATATATATATATATATATATATATATATATATATATACGATGTGCGTGTGTGCGCGCATTTTCTTTACAAGTATATTTTTGACGTGTCCGTACTAATTTTGTACCTATATGCATATTCGGTTTATATATGCATATGTGGATGTATGTATGTATATATATATATATATATATATATATATATATATATATATATATATATATATATATATATATATATATATATATATATATATATATATATATATATATATGCATGTTTCATTAAAAACGACAGACAAGGTACTACAGTTGAGCTTTTTATTTAATTTTTCTTGTGTTCTGACAAGAGCTTTCTTTTCTGGACAAAGAGTGTGTGAGAACTGTCCGAATGTTCTGTATTTCCGAGCGCTTTCGGCTATATCTTTAGCCATTATCAAGGATGATTCAATATCAGCTTAGTAGAGTGTGTGTGTTCTGTGTATGTTCAGTGTGTGGTAGTGATGTTTTTAGTTTCCGAATACGGTTAGCAAATTGTGGCTTTGTTCATAGTTAATATTGTTAAGAGTTGGCTTTTTCTTTTTTATTATTAGAGCTTCCATTATTTTTAGTTTTTTTGCAAGTGGATGCAGTTAATATATTTGTGTTTTCTACTAGTATGTTCCTAATAGTGTCGGGTAAATCTGAGTGTGTGTTTAAATGTGTTCTGATGGAACTGTGATCAGATAGGTGTAATGTAAGACGTCTGGATAAACATGTGGTTGTGTAGCCGATGTAATTATTTATGAGTCCGGTTTGGTGAGGAACGCAGTTCCTTAAAGGGCATTTGAACTCATAGATAATGTTTGTTCTTTGTAATTTTGACTTAGTTGGTGTGTTGTTATTTTTGAGGATAAGGTTGGCCGTCTTAAATTTTTTATAATAGATAATAAGTTTGATTTTTTTTTTTAACTGCATCCACTTTCAAAAAGAGACTAAAAAAATAATGGAAGTACCTTGTCTGTGGTTTTTAATGAAACATGCATAAAGGAAGGATTGCTGCCTAAATATACAAATATATATATATATATATATATATATATATATATATATATATATATATATATATATATTTATAGGTCTGATGAATTGGTCGTGATTACGATTCCAATGTAATAAATTATAAGCATGCAATATTAGTACAATAATTACATTGTTCGGACTATTGTCATCATCTGCCATATGCCATATTTATCAGAACTTTTCGGGCGTTGTACGTTGCGGCCTTCTTCAGGTGGTTGGAATGTCAAACTGAACCTTTTATTTCGCTGAGGTAGACTGTTCTAGTTCCACGTGCCATGTCTAATGGATGTCAGTTATCAGTTATCTCCTGTTGATTTCCCTCTCCATTTTCTCCACTGCTTTAAACAGGTATTGAACTCACACTCTTTGGGACCTGTCACTGGATCTAGCTAGCGCCTTTATCCCCTGTGCTATGTGTCCTTAAGGTAGTCGAGAACTTGAAGATTCATAAGAAATCAATAAAAAGAAAAGGAAGAGGAAAGAAAAGAAAGGCATAAAAACGCAAAAGAAATCAAACCTACTACAAAGAGAATGGGAAGAAAAGAAAGGAAAAAAAAGAAAAGGAGTATATCCAAATTATACAGACACTAAGGAAGAGGAAAGAAAAGAAAATAAGATAGGAGATGCCGTTGATACGAGACTTAAACCAATGAATCCACGCTGAGAAAGAGAATTCAAATTTGAACGGAAATAAAACGCTACAAAATAGTAAAATTTTATTCTTTTCGTTCTTTTACATTTCTTTATATATATATATATATATATATATATATATGGTGCAGTTCAATTTATATTACAATGAATCATTCATACATAAAGTAGATTAGCAAAGTTAATGATATAAAATGGCGAAAACTCCTCGCAAATAAAATTTTGAAGTTGCATTAACCTCCGAACCACTCGATGAATGTTATGATCCTTGTTTTTAATAACTACAAGCTGTATAAGGTCTTTTTTTTTACTCTGCAAGTACTTTCAACTGTATATTCAGTCATCCTCAGACATGGAAATTATTTTGTTTTCAGTAAAATCCAGTTAGTATCAGAGACGAAATATTAAATGCGAATCGAAATGTTTTTTAGAAGTTTTTATATGTTTTTGTGATATTGTAATATATATATATATATATATATATATAATTATTTTTTTTTAAATATGATTCTTTCACTACATAAGAGTTCTCATGTTTTAAAAACAAGAGCCGAAAACCTCAATATAATTATTAAAATTAAATTGAATTAAAGTATCAAGCCCTGTTCCATCCTCAAATGAAACACGGCTTGATACTTTAATCCAATTTTATTTCAATAATTATATTGAGGTTTTTGGCTCTTGTTTTTGAAACATGAGGACTCTTATGTAGCGAAGGAATCATTTTTTTTTTTAAATAATTATAATTTAAGCTCTACTTCTGTATGGAGCACTATTTCTTAAAAATAAAAACACTAAAGAATCTCGGATTTACCTAACGTGTTCTTTCCTATTTTTACATATATATATATATATATATATATATATATATATATATATATATATATATATATTTTAATTAAAAAATAAATAAATAAAATACTTCATCGAGTCTAGCAGAAACCTCAACACAATGCCGAAAGCACTGGACGGCCGTTTCGTCCTATATTTAGGACTCATCAGCAGTGCGCATCCACTACCGAGAATTGAAACCCGGACAGCTACATTGACAGGCAAAAGTCATAGCGACTGCACTAACGGGCTTTACTGACGACGAGGTAGCGAACTACACTCGATAGTGCGCCGCTCGTTATATATATAGAAAGAGAGAGAGAGAGAGACAACGAGAGAGATGGGTGTATGTATCCATATATGTATGTGTGTGTGTGTGTTTATGGGTATGTACCTGCGTTTGTATGAATATGTACATTTATATGTGTGTGTATATTTGTGTATGTATGTGTAGGTGTATGTATACATATATACATATATGATTGGGCGTTATTATTACTGTTTTCGAATTTCCGTATCTATTATAATTAAATTGTTTGATTTTGGTTGCCTTGCCTATTAAAGGGGCTTTTCGTTATAATATAAAAGTAATGACGCGTTCGAGACGAAGTCTAGCAGCCGGTCTACTCCTCTCGTCCTCTACCCCCTCTCTCCCCCTTCACCCCCCCCAAACTTTGCCATCTTGGCGGGCTTTAGCGTGTCGAACTCACGTTCACTACCCTCGGATATAGATATGGGGCGTAGACAGGTTTATTAATAGACTTATCCTTTCTTTTTATCTTGATAGTTTATATTCTTACGTTAGTTTATTGAGTTAAGACCAAAGAATACAATAAGTATAATGGGATCGATTTAGCTAATAGGTAATTAGCATAAAGACATCTATAACTATAGCTCATGGGCAACTTGGAGTCAGTGTACGCAGAATATCTGCAGGTAATAAAGATGATCGTCATAACAATAAGCTTGCCACTTAGTTAACATCTAAATGTGATTGCAAATAACTTGTACAGTGTTATGGTAATTTTATCCATGCATGCATGGACTCTCTCAGCTATAAATAGGAGCAGGTACTGCCTTTTGTAGTGTAGTTTCCAAGAGTCAGCTCTGACAGTCGGACCGAACATTCTTGCTTGTTTGTAAATGTCTTTTATTACTGTTTCTTTTAATATATTTGTATAACTCAATTCCCATCTTTGTGTCTTTATTTCTGGCCCTAACAAGGCAACAACATACAGCCAACAAGAATCCAACACGTAAGTTAACTTCGAACTCATCATATGTCCGACATCTGAATGGTTACTCGAGGTCACCTCTTAGAATGTGAGAAATTTAGTTTTTTTTTTCCTTTCGTACTCCCTGCGTTCGATTTGCTGCTTTTAAGACATAAATTGACCTTTTATTCTCCAGTTGACAATCACCTCCTGAAGAAGACCATAGAGCGTTGAAACATGATTGCATGTATGTAGTAGTTTATAACATGATATTCTTATAATTGTTAATAAATATTATTATTATTAAGCTCAACTCTGAATTAACCACTTTTAAAAATATGTCTGGACTATATATATATATATGAGTCATGTAATTATAAATTGAACTGCACCTATAAACGAAATTAAAATAACTGATCCAACGTGCAACTTTCGGATAATAAGTGTGACATTCCTGTAATTATTGAACAATATAGTTTATACCACATTGACGGAAAACCTACCAGTACAAAAGAATTCTCTTATTACCATATTTGTACAAAAACGAACAACCTTAAAATTTTAAATTCAAACTCAGCGTTGCGACCGCACGTTCCAAAACAATAACACATTTCTCATAGCATTTTTTCGGATTACATCTATATTTTCGTTGTCCTCTTATTACTGAGAAGTAAAAAACAAGAACAAATCTATTTCCACACCTGAGGGTGTCTGTAGGAACAGACGAAAGCTTGTAAAAACTAAAAAAAGACCTTATGCAACTGGAATTTATAAACAGGGATCATATCATTCATATACAGGTTCGGGGTTAGTGTACCTTATTGGAATTGTTTGAGAAGATGTATTCTCGCCATTTAAATCATTAACCTCTATATTTATTTTTTATGAATGATTCATGTAATTATAAACCTATAATCGAAATATATATATATATATATATATATATATATATATATATATATATATATATATATATCAAGTGAGGTTAATACAAATGTCCAGACATATTTTAAAAAGTGGTCAATGCACAGTTGAGCTTAATAAAATTGACAAAGATTATTGCTTAAGGTTGACGGACATGCATGTCTTAATTAGTTTTATATTTTTTTAATTTTTTTTTTTTTTTTTACGAATTGGTAACCTGTTGTATTTGTATTTTTATCTATATCTGATGCGTTTGGTGTTGATCAAATTGAAATCAGTCCACCGAAAATAAAGTGTTTTATATATTTATATACTTATAACACTAAATATTTTCATCAACGATCTTCCTGACGTCATAGATTCCCAAGTAGGCATCTATGCGGACGACACTACAATTTACTCCTGCCTCAAAAAGAAATCTGACAAAACTAACGTGGCCGTTCGTCTCCAAAAGGACCTCCAATCGGTTGTGAACTGGGGCAGGAATTGGCTGGTTAACTTTAACGCCTCAAAAACAAAACTGCTCTCTATTAATCACCAGAGAGATCCTTCCCTGCACCCCACCTCTCTGCGGCTGTTCGGTCTCACGTTGACTGCTGACCTGAGATGAAACAAATACATTGAGTCAATTGCTTCGTCCACTGCAAGGAAAGTTGGCTCCCAGTGCCGCGCCAGGAAATTTTTCTCCCCGGAATCGATCCTTCAAATCTGCAAATTAACCATTTGCCCTTGCATGGTGTATTGCTGCCATATATGGTCTGGTGGCCATTATGTTTGTATCAAGGTTCTTGATGAGATCCAGAGACGGATATGCAATATAATTGGCCCTGATCTAGCATCTCATCTGCAGTCGCTCTCTCACAGACGTGCCGTCTCTTCTCTCTGTCTTTTTTGCACATACTTTCATGGTAATTGTTCCGATGAGCTGCTTTCGCTGGTTCCCCGACGTCATGAATTCAAGCGTCTTACGAGGCTGGCATCCCGCTCTCACCCTTTCACTGTTGAAACTGTTAAATGTAGCTGTCTCTTCTACTCCAATAGTTTCATATCTCGCATCTCTCGCCTGTGGAAATTTATTGTATTCATGACCATACAGATGAACATATGCGAAATAGACACACACACACACACACACACACACACACACACACACACACACACACACACACACACATATATATATATATATATATATATATATATATATATATATATGGTAAAGGTAATGAATCCGTTGGTAGATAATCCAAGTGGATCCTAGTAATGTAAAATATTAAAACTAGTCCACAAAAAGAGCTCAATTTATTTATTACAGAGCAGAAATTAGACACAATAAATCTATCCTTCTCCTCATCCTTTCCTCTATCACTCCTATCAGCTCTCGCTCCAAATCCTCTGTAACCCCTTACGTGTTACTGGCTTCCCGCCTTGCTTTGGGTGAAATGCTTAAACAAAAATTATTATAATATTTTCATTATGATAAATTGCAATAAAATCATTTTACATAACTACACAAAAACTTTCATGTTTCAGTACTAAGATGGCACTTCCTCAGTCGATGATAGATTACTTGAAGAAGTACCACCTTAGTACTGAAGCATGAAAGTTTTTGTGTAGCGATATAATTTTTTTATTGTAATTTATTATAATAAAAATATTGTAATAATATTTTGCTCTACTTTTTACTGAACACTTTTTAAAAAAATAAATGCTACGAACTGTGTTTTTTACACGATCTGTCCTTTCTCTAATTTGGTTAACACTATATATATATATATATATATATATATATATATATATATACGAGAGAGTGTGGTGCATGGGTGGCAAATTTAAGAATTTAATGTTGTTTGTTTGTTGATTGTTCGAAATTGATAAACACCATTTCTAAATTTCTTTCAACGCTTTTATTCACCAACAATATTGTTTGGGAAATTATTATAGATCAGTGTTTGTTTTATGTTGCTTAATTCTCTATAAAACAATGTCTTCGAATAGAAAAGCATTTAAGCCTCGTAAATCATGTTTTTAGAAAGAAAATAAGCAAATAACTTCATAAATAAAGACTCCGTTAAATTGTTTTATTGTAACGAGATTCATCCTAATTAAAAACAAGACTAAAGGCTCTCTCTCTCTCTCTCACCCTCTCCCTCTCCCCTCTCGCTCTCCTCTCCCTCTCTCTCTCTCTCTCTCTCTATATATATATATATATATATATTATATATATATATATTATATATGTCCTGTACTTATTGGAAAGTGTTCAATATCAGTGATAGAGCCAACATAGCTGTGCGGATGAGTTTGTAACCTTGGGTTTCACGCTTTACAATAGGTTACAAAGTCATATATATATATATATATATATATATATATATATATATATATATATATATATATATATATGTTTGTGTGTTTGTGTCTGTGTTTGTGTATGTGTGTCTGTGTGTGCAAATATAAAGAAAAATAGGAAAGAACCGTTATTTTAATAATCCGAAGTTCCTTAGTATTTTTGTTTTATTTAAAAAAAAGAAACAGTGCTCAATACACAAGTAGAGCTTATAATTATTTTTTTAAAAAAATATGATTCCATTGTTACATAAGAGTTCTCATGTTCCGAAAACAGAACCTGAAAACTTCACTTTAATTATGGAAATTAAATTAAATTAAAGTACCTAGTTCTGTTTCATCATCAAGCGAATTTTGGAATAACAAATTTAGAAATTTACAGAGCTTTATAAGCATATACATTCGTAATAGTAATTTCTATGGAAACAGAGAAACGGAGAAAACCAATAAGGGGCAGTACCGTTTACATTTTCCCTGACAACTATTGTATCAACATATTAGTTACTGTCAAGGTAAGGTCGGGATGCCTATTCTCAAACGAATGATCACATCAGTTCAACGCATATCGTCTGGTCTATTTCAACGACAGACGGCGTTAAATTTGTATTTGTATACATAAAAGATTTTTTCTAAAAGTGTTGTTTGTTTATGAATACGTCGTATTGAACTACAATTTGTTAATTATAACAAGACAAAAAGACTATTTAAATAATGATCCGCCGTTATATAAAAGTTATAGATCCTAACAAATTAGATTTATCATCTATTATTAAAATTAAAAACGTTTAATCTAATGCTTTGAAATAATTCAACACCTCAAACATCTAACTTATGGAAAAAATAATGTTGCTTATGAATTCATATGTATTTTGGGAGATTGTATTCATGCACATACAGATGAACATATGAGAAATAGGTATACACGCACACGCACACACACACACACACACACACATATGGGAAATGAGCTTATTTCGGCAGACGAAAATATTCGTCAGTCTTATTCAACCCCGGTGTAGACTGAGTTCGTGTAAAAAATAGAAATTTAACTGTGAAAACTACAACAACAAAAAAAACAAAAACAAAAAACGCTGAAAATCTAAGACAGAAATTATCCATTTCAATGTTTCAGTCAGACGAAAGGCACGATAAAGTGGTCAGGAGAGGGGAGGGTGGAAAGTATTTGTCTTACAGGAAGAGGTCTTGTAAAACTAAAATTATATATATATATATATATATATATATATATATATATATATATATATACAATACTTTACAATTGAGTTAAGATACATTTTCACCTACGTATTTTAATTTCAATTTTCAAACTGTCTATGGTATCAGTTTGTAGTGTACTGTTTATTTGGAGAAAGAAAGAAAGAAAGAAAGAAAGAAAGAAAGCGAGAGAGAGAGAGCATGTTACAGGGGACTTGTTGGGAGGTATGGGGAGAAGAAGAAGTCATCGTTACTTGAATGGAGCTCATTTACTCAATTCCAATTGTAAAGAAAATTTGCTCTTTTTAATGAAAATTATCTTTCAGCGCTCTTTTGTGAGTCAGTTTCAACATGTTTCAAATTCTATATTGTGTTAATAGGACTCGCCTGGATTATACGAACTGGATTACTACCGATATATATATATATATATATATATATATATATATATATATATATATAAGTTATGAAGAACTTGGTAATCCGTATGGGTAATATACTATATAATATAAAATCCCGAGAGCTCAATGTAAATCCAGAGCTAATATTTAAAAGAAAAACAGATCACTTTAAGGTACCATTATAATAATTTATTTCACCAGAGCCCTTTTAAAGGACTCCGGATCATCAGATAGCACTTCCAAAAATGAAATGTAACGAAAAATGAAATTAAAATTGATGGGTAGTGTTTTAGTAATTTAACAGAGAGTGCAAAAGGATAGAAAAGAGACATGGTAGAGTATAGGGAGGATTAATTTCATATCTCTCAAGTATACTTTGTATTGGGGGAAGGGGAGTGACCAGACCTTGACCTATTTATAACAGTTAACTTAACGGAAGTGAGATATTGAAATGGGAGGGAGTAGGGAGAAAAGAAAAAGGAAAAAGAAAGAAGAGGGAGAAGGAAGTAAAGAGAAAGAGGCTGTAATTGGGTTTTAGCAATTTATGTAAAAATTAGATTTTAATGATTGATAGTAATTTAGATGTCTAAAAAAACGAGAAGAAATTAATATGATGCTTGCTTTCAATTTAAATATTTAATTTGTTTTTTTGTTTTTTTAACAAATAGTTTAGGGATTTAATATAAGTTAAATACTATATTTCTTAACACATTTATAGACCATATTAAAAAAATATTTTAAATTATAACAGTTTATTTACCCGACCAATCGTACTTTTTAATATTGTAAAAAATAGTTACGGTAACATCTTTATTAGTTTTACTTTTAATCTAATTTATGAATGCAATTTGTAATTATTTTTTATATGGGTAATCTTTCTTACTTAAATATATATAAACTTATATATATATATATATATATATATATATATATATATATATATATATATATATATATATATATATTATTATATATAAATTAGTATCGACTACAGGTTAGAAATCAAATATAAATATATGAAGATGAATATAACGATTGTCTCATTTTAAGGACCAAAAATGTTCACATACTAATACACACAAAAAACATATACAAGTAGGTACATACACTTAGGCATGTACTCACACACACACCCAGACATACGTGTACATACATACACACACACACACACATATATATATATATATATATAAAAGACCTAAAAATATATTCACATATCCACACATACACATATTCATCTATATTCATATACACATACTTTTCACATACATATACATACATATGCCCCCTAATTGTCTATGGTGTGTATATGTCACCACGAAATGTATCTTTATGCATTAGACATCCGTCGACTTTCTTTCTCTCCTCTTTTTAAATTGACCCACATCTCCTAAAATTCTCTCTGTTAAGGTTTCATGTCCCTCCTCCTCATACTTACACTTTCTCTAAATTCTGTTTTGATTTCCGGTTGTTTTTTTTTCTGTTTTCATTTTGAATTTGTAGGTCTGATGATTTGGATCGTATTTACGATTCCAATGGAATAAATTATGACCATGGAATATTAGTGTTTAAGCCTTTTTATTATATCCTTACACTGTCCTAGACATTGAGTTCTACCTGGATCCTTCCTCTTGAAAATTTTTTTTTTTTTTCAAAAAATATACATGTATGGGAATTTTTATATATATTTTGCATATGTATGTATATTTTCCACTAATATATCTATATATATATATATATATATATATATATATATATATATATATATATATATATAACAGGAGATATTTTTCTTGTGTTGTATATGGAAATCAGTCGTATTGACCGCCCAAGTGACGAAAGACAACGCCAAAAGGCAACCAAATATTCCTATTGCTATGTCCTGAGTTCAGTCCGGACGACCGGCTGATCGGTTGAACTCTCTGCCTTCGGGCGGGGAGGAACCCGAACGAGGCTACGCCGAAGGGCGGAGTCTCTTTCGGGGAGGTAAACCGACCCTGAACCCGTTTATACGGGTTCAAAGGGCATATTTTTGGCCGAGCTCACGGGCTCGAAGATCCCACGGGCTCGGAGATTTCACGTTCAACCGGCCTTGTGGCACATGATGCCCTCGTGGGGGGGTGACTAAATACCGTCCTGAGATCTTTGCTGTAGCAGGATATGTGGAATTGTATGCAAGTCCCTCGGAGGCATGTATTATCATGTACGACAGAATTATAAAAAACTGAAGGATGTTGTCTGATCAAAACAATAATGATAGTCTGTTTATGTTTCCATGGAAGATTTCCAAGCAACGACAATGTATTGAATAATATATTTACTTCTGTTGTTTATTTCACGGCATCATATAATCATTAGGCTGCCATCTTGTACGCACCGTCTACAGTTAGATGGACCGACTCAGCCGGGTTCATTTCAAGTGTTTATCGCGCTGTGTCCTGACATTTACTGTCGCTACAATGACCTTCTCACTGGCCACGCAACATGGATAACATCCCTGCCTCCCCGATTTCTTCACCTGTCTCATTTATTTATTTATATCATCCAGCCCCGAGTTGTGGGGGTCGGGGAAATGACGACAAGGATTGACTTTTAGATTTTGTTGCAAAATAATCGTCACTGATGCAGAGTTAGCTTTTTTCTTCTGGGATGATTTCAAGAAGCCTTTCTCTGTGTTGTTTTAGTCTGGCACAAGACAATGTCGAAGAAGAAGAAGGAACCTGCGAGCTTGGCGTTCAAAAACACACGCAAATACATGAAGGGAAAGGCTAAATTGAATCAATTGCTAGAAAACTGGTTAACTTTTGTGGTGCTATATATATATATATATATATATATATATATATATATATAAAGAAAGAACAGTAAAATATATAATCCGGTGTTCTTATAGATATTTTTATTTTTACAAAATAGTGCTCAATGTAAATTTACAGAGCATTAATATTATAAATTAATTGATTTAAAATATGTTCTTTTTTTGCTACACAGTTCTAACCATGTTTCGAAAATGGAAGCTAAATGCTCCGAATTTTATTTTGTAATTAAATTAAAGACATTAGTTTCATTTCATCCTCAAGCGAATTTTGGAGTAACTTTTAAAATTAATATTTTAGCTGTGTCTTTAAAACCCAGTAAACATATTTTAAATCAATTAATTTATAATATATATATATATATATAATTATTCATTCGAAAATTATAACATAAATATGTTATAAAGTCACTACAAAAATAGCCATTTCGTTTCATCACTTCTGCTGTCTTATCAAGTGATGGAGTTGAATGCCATTCAACACAATCACTTGATAAGACACCAGAAGTGTTGAAACAAAATGGCTATTTTTGTAGTGATTTTTTGTATTTATGTTATAATTTTCGAATAAATACTTATATTTGCTCTACTCTGTATTGCGCACTCTTTTAAGAATAGTATTTGTTGGTTATTAGAATTTACTCCGTATACACCAATCCTATACTTGGGTATATATATATATATATATATATATATATATATATATATATAAGTGAACATAGAGGTCAACACTTAGAGGCGACAGGCTGTTTTAAGCTGGACGCAGTCGTCAGGCCAGCCTAGCCTGACGACTGCATGAAACAGACTGTCGCCTCTGAGTGTTGACTTCTATGTTCACTTTTATATTTACACACACTCTATATCTGATATTGAGCATTTATCCCATAAATATAGCACATCTTAAGAGTATATTTCTTTATACGTTTATATATATGGAATTAGTTGCAAAGTCCGGATATGAGGGGTTTTATATTGGTTAAAATAAAAGAACTGAAATTAGGTTTAACATTTATTTTCAATGTTTTATAGTAAACAAAATAAGCTAATGGTGAGTGAAATATAACGGAATTGATTTTCAGGAAAAAGAAATAAATTATGTAATGTTAATGAAAATTCATTAAATTAAATATGCCACGTATGCAAAACAAATAATGTATCGAGGATTTTTTAATCGCTGTTGCATGATGATTCTTTCTCTTCTAATGTCGCTCTCAACTTTTTCCGGATTTCGTTTTGCTTTTGGTTATTCCCGTTTAACTTGACTCTCCAAGTTTTTTGTTCCCCACCGCAGTTGCTTTGAGAGTTGAGTTAAAGTGAAATAATTGAGATATCCGTAACAGGTATGGCACGTGGAACTAGAACCATCTACTCCGGTGGTTCGAAATTCCAATCACCTGAAGAAGGCCGGAGCGTACAAAGGCCGAACGTTGTGAATATGTCAATGATGATTAGAATAACAGTGTGAATAATATAAATAATGTAAATAATCATAATACATCATTTCAGTGATATAGACATATAACTTTCATTTGACCCCAGCTGAGACCCTAACAGGTGTTTCCAACCCGGGTCAGGGTGGACCTGGGAACAACAGCAATTAAGAAGTGGTTCCACTCTCTTCAAAATCTCCTGATCAGAGGCCTTGATGCCGGATGTAGTTTATTCTCATACGCAAGACGGGTGAGGATTCGAACTCAGGACAACCGTAAACGTTTTGCTTCCACTGCGAATCAGCTTGATTAATTTAATCAGCTCTGTCAGGTCAATTTCTTAACACGAAGTACCCATTAAATATTGAATTCACTCCTATCGTAATATGGCGCTAACTGACAATTAAGACGTGGTAAGGCGCTCAATTGATATCTGCGAAGCTCGAAGCGTCCAGGTTAAGAAAGTCAACGAAAATCGACTCACTAATAACTGTGGACGAACCGAGGTTGTTAATTCTTGCCCTACAGCGAGGTATCTGTCATAATAAAAATCGGTA